GCAGAATACCCCCTTTCCTCCCTAAAGTTGTTTTGGTCATGGTGTTTTATCACAGCAATGGTAACCTTAACTAAGACACACTGGGACCTCTAGGGATCAGTTGTGCTAGCCCAATGCTCCATTTCGCCACCACAACGCTGTTTATGATGTCACAGTGATGGACTTCGACATCACTTAGCTGCAGTGTCCTTAATAATGTTCCATTATGCCACGAGAGCATGCTTTGGCCATCACAATACTCCCTTGTGCCGTGATAATGCTGAACTGTGACATCAAAAGGCTTCATTATGTTATCTTAGCGCTAAATGATTCCAGGTCAATGCTCCTTTGTGCTAATACTTAATAGTGACATGATACTGTTCCACCGGTCCATCACAGTGCTGAATTTTGACGTGATAATCCTATTTTATGTCTTCACAAACCTGAATTTAGGTATCTGAGCTGCAAGCTATTGCTATTTGTGCCATGCGTCATCACCAGGCTGTAACGTTAAATTGTTCGAAGCTCCATTGTGACATCCCAGTGCTGAATGTTGACACTGCAATAGTCAGATGTGCTAACCTGATGCGGAATTGTGGCTTCACAATGCCACATTGTGCCAGCATGGTGCTCTCCTGTGTCGGTGAATGCTGAATTTCGATGACACAATGTTGAATTGTAAATGTCACGCAGCTATATTTGATCATGATGTCTCACTGTGGCAAGGAAATGCTCTTTGTGCCATCATATAGCTATCTCACTTGTGAGAGAACAAGAACACAACTTAGAGGCACCCCCACACCAGCCAGAATAGCACCCCATCTCCGGTAAACTCCATTGTGGCTTGAACGCCACTCCCTTACTGTGGCTTAACTGTTTCAACGTCCCAAAGTTAATTTCCTTAAGTCAACACTGCTAATACCATCCCTGCACATCCTATTGAATTATTAACACTGCCTGGCTGAACTGGACCTCAGCCCTTTTGACAATCTTCTCCCCAGCCCCGATTAAAAAAAAAAAAACCCCAGCCTGAAAGAGAAGGGTGTGCTCTGACATCTGATGAGAACCCTTCCCAGCTTTCCAGAGCAAGCCTGTGTTCACAGTCCAGCGGCCTTTCCTCCCCCACTTTGTGCTATCACAATGCCGTTTTCTGATGTAACAATGAAGTACTCTGCTGCGACTTACCTGCTGCCTCATGGCAGACATACCAATGCTGCATCGTGACGTCATCGTTCCGAATTGTGGCTTCACATTGCTCTATTTTATCATGAAAAAACATTGAAATCTGACACATGGTGTTGCTAGACTGTGACATTACTCTGTTCTATTGTGCCATTACTAGAATGTATGTTTCCGTAATAAAGCTGAATCATGTCGTCACAATGTTCAGCTTTTGTCATGACAATACCAAACTATAACAAAAATTCTGAATTATGACACCACGATGATGCAGTGTGCCGTCACAAAGACTCCTTGTGACACTACAATGTTCCCCTGCGACATCACCGTGTTGAATTATAACCTCACAGTGTTGCATTGTGGCAGGACAATTTCCCATTGTGATATCAAATTTTCCACTGTTACGATGTCCCACTGGAATATGCTGAACTCGGGCATCACAATGCTCCATTGGTGGTGTGACATAATGCCAGATTTTTAATATCACAATGCTCCTCTTTGGCATGACAACTCTCTTTGTGACATCACAGAATTGAAATGCTCCTCTTTGGCATGACAACTCTCTTTGTGACATCACAGAATTGAAACGGGGCGGGGGGGGGGTACAATACTCCACCATGCATGAGAAAGCTCCATTGTGTCATTACAATGCACCGATGTCGGATTGCCACGCTCAGGTGGCACCACCTTGTTGCTATGAAGAAGCCAATTACAGTTGCTGGTTTTCTGTCCTTGCTTTGGTTTTGTCTTTATTTGTTTTGTTTTGTTTGAAGGAATGTGGGAGCCTTGGGACCTCTGGATTAGAAAAGTAGCTGAACGCTGTACGAAGAACCTACTAACTGTTTTAGGAGCCTGGGAGACAGAAGTGCCGAGGATAATGCAGACAGTGGAGACCCAGCCTGTGACATTTCAGGGGAAGCAAGGACTCTATTAAACAGTTGGGCTGGGGGCCATTTGTATGATATCTTGGCAAAGAATCTGATCACTCTCTTCAAGCCCTGATAATCCATGAGGACACATTAGAGAGGAATGGCCTAATTCCTTTTGCAGAGAAATTTCAAGACAACATGACGTGGAGTTTGTGGTATGGTCTTATGCAAATCTATAGTGAAAAGGGGGGGGAGGGAGTGGCAAAGTAAACACAAAATGTGCAGCTTGAGCAGGAAAGGAGCAGGAGGAAGCTTTAGAATACAGTGAAGCCATGTGATGCAAGAGGCAGCCATCATTAAGTAGGTGTAGTAGTTTGAATGAAAATGGCCCCCATTGGCTCATAGGGAGTGACATTATCAAGGCGTGTGGCCTTGCTGGAGTAGGTGTGACCTTGTTGGAGGAAGTGTGTCACTGGGGGGTGGGCTTTGAGGTTTCAGATGCTCAAGCCAGGCCCAGTGGCTCACTGTCTCTTCCTGCTGCCTGTGGATCCAGATGCAGAACTCTCAGCTCCTTCTCCAGCACCATGTCTGCCTGCATGCCACCACGCTTCCTGCCATGATGACAATGGACTAAACCTCTGAACTGTAAGCCACCCCGTATTAACTATTTTCCATTATGAGTTGCCATGGTCATGGTGTCTTTTCTTTTCACAGCAATAAAACACAAAGATGGGACATTAGGACCATTAGAGAGAAATGGCCTGCTCTGCATCAGACAGATAGGAAGAGGACCCTCAGGGATACCTCCTAACTAAACTCCAATCTGTGAAAGGAAAGGGCCTAAGGAGTTTGCTGACCCTAGAAAGCATAGAAAAGCTGCTGCACTTGTAGTCAAAGTGGTGAAGAGTCCATCCCAAGCTAGTGGCTGAACTTGGCAATGTCATCCATGTGGTACTGCTTTTGGAGACTGGCGAGGCAATATTCAGAAAATATCTCTTACATCCTTAAAGACTGGCACTTTTTCTGGACCTCACAGCCAGAGTTAATAATACACCTTGAAGTCACTCAAGACAGCGAGCCTCCTGTGCACTCCAACTGTTTGTTCAACCTGCCTTAAAGAGAAAAATGTAACAATCAGCCCTACTTGCCTTGGATTTCCAATATAATCAACTGTTACAATACAAGCTAAATGCATAGCTGTAATTTTAAGTGATGTACTCTCCAAAGCCCCTGACACAGATGATGCATGTGTATCATTTGCCGAAAGCAGCAAGCAGCAATAGAAAGCAGCTTCCTAGAATCTATCAGAAAGGTTGAGAGCAATCATTTATGCAGATTGGTGGAACTCAATGAAGGCACTGAAGCCAAGGCCATGGAGGGGAGCCGCTTACAGGCTTGCATCCCCCATGACTTGCTCAGTCTGCTTTTTTTTTTTTTTTTTTTTGGTCTTTGTTATTGTTGTTGTTTTTTCAAGACAAGGTTTCTCTGTGTAGCCCTGACTGTCCTGGAACGCTCTCTGTAGGCCAGGCTAGCCTCGAACTCAACCTGCTTTCTTATAGCATCCAGGACCACCATCCCAGGGGTGGCGCTGCCCACTGTTCTAGCTCCTCCCACATCAATCATCAATCAAGAAAACATACACAGGCCAATCTGGTTGGGGGCATTTTCTAAACTGAGGTTCCCTCTCCCCAGGTGGCTCTAGCTTGCACCAAGTTGACATAGACTAGTCAATACAACTCAAATCCTTCAACTGTTCTTAAAGCTTCTCCATACCCCCAGGGAGGACCCTGCCCACCTGGCAAGTAGCACTCAGTACCACCTACAAGAAGACCGCCATCCTGGAATTTCCCCCACTGACAGCTACTGCCCTGGGCGTCCCACCTTGGTTACATGTCTCACCACCCTCAGCATCGGCCATCTCCCACCACTACCCCCACAGCCCTATAAAGGCAAACGACGTTAAAATTTACACACACACACACACACTTTGGTTGTCTCACTCTTCCTATCAGGCATAACACATTAATCTTCCCAAAAGCATCCTTGAATTTTGTCATATTCTGCCAGCTACACCAAGCGTTGCTAAAACTCCTTCCCAGGGGGAGGATGTAAACATCTATCTCGTCCCATAAAGTCCCGACCACAATAAGAGGTACTGTTCCACCCAAGGTCACTCTGGAGAACCAGAGTTTATTGGGCTTACTTACAGAGAATAGGTAAGGGGTTATTTATGGCATGGGTGTTTCTCCCTACCCAAAAGGCTGTGCTAGAAAAGTCTTTACCCAGAAGTTACGATGGCTTTCCCACAGCAACATAGATGAAGTTCCTCCTCCATTCTTCCCTGGTCTATATGCCCTAGGCCTTCCCCAAGGCCACATGCAATTAGGGCAAAACTGCACACAACAGATGGTCTGGAGTGCTGTAAGTCAGATGAGGGTCCCATGAGCACCCTTCTCCTGTGAGGGATCAGTCAACAAACCCAGCTGCGATGATCCTTTGCAAACAGGCACAGCTGAACTCCTGAAGTTCTGGTTGTTGGCTCAGAAGACAGTTGCAACCAACAAATGGTCACAGAAACAAAGTCATAAACTTCAATTCATATTCTTTTATGACTAAGAGAAGTAGAAGCAGGAAGTAACGATTCTAAACAAAGAACCATGAAGTGTTTAAATAAGCTCCATTTAGATAAAATGGACTTTATTCTCACCCACCCACTCCCCAAAACACAAGGTTTCTACCTTGCCATAAATGACCAACTCCCTTAAAATTATTTTTGTTTTCTATAATTTCCTTTTGTTCTTAATTATTATCCATGAACATACAGTATTTCTGTAGTCTTACTCCTAACAACTCCTTAGTTGTATGTTGCAGTCAACATAAATGAATACCAACATTTCTGTGTTCTTTGTATAACTAAGGGGTGATGTGTGGATAAAAACCATATGACAAAAAAAATATATAAAAAACTTAATATTCAGAAAGCTAGAACAATTTATTATACTTTCACATCCCTCATAATTTCTGGGTAAGTGAAAAAAGGATGGATTAAAATATCACATACAAATAAATCTTCAAATCTATACATCTATTTGAAGGATAAGGACACTGAGAACAAGAATTAGCAGTCATATACCTTTCGCAGCCTTGGTGCAGGGAGGAAGGGCTTAGACCTGCCTCAACTGAATGTGCCAGGCTCTGCTGACTCCCCATGGGAGACCTTGCCTTGGAGGAGGTGGGAGACGTAGGTTGGGGCACAAGGATCGGGGACAGGAGGAGGGAGGAGAGGGGGATCTGTGGTTGGTATGTAAAATGAATAGAAAATTTAATAAAATAAAAAAAGAATTAGCAGTCATTCACTATTCCTCAACAAAATATTACTAAGATCTGTTATGGACATAACAGTAAGATCAATAAGATCTTACTGTACATAAGAGTAGATCAATATGGTGATCTACTCTCTGTAACAAATTAACATGTCAAGCAATACATATCAGAGACAACAAGAACCACCCACTCCATGTATTTACTAAATAAAGTTTATACAGAATATACAGTTTTTCAAAATCCACTTTATGCTCTCTGGAGAAAACAGTTCAAAACTTCTCAGAAAGCAGTCTTATTCTTCTGCTAAAATGGCACAAGGCCGAGCCTTGTGCAGTTTTTAACAGTGAAGTTATTTAGTATATTTGAATGTATAACAAATTCCACGTTTTCGGAGATGAGTTCAAATAACTCTGACACCCGTGATGTATCTCTTTCCACTTCATTAATGATAAGCAGAAGATCAAAATTTTGCCACAAACTATATAGTCATAAGATTTCTGTTCTGTGCTAATTCTTTATGTACATCAAGATTTATTGAGGTATGGGCTGTCTTAAAAAGAAGATTTGAGGTATTAGTGAAAGCTTTGTTATGAGGGGATTCACGGTATAGTATCAGACTCTTCTGAGGGTTACACATAGGACAGTGCTCTTTCCGACATGAATTTGTTACTGTCCAATAAGGAAGCGCTGTGGTCAAGGGCCGGGCCACATTAGCATATCTGGAAGCTGTTCTCCACCGTGGACCTTTTAGTATGGACTAACCACTGCACGCCTGTGAAAGGTTTCTCCACCCTCCTCACACTTGTCGAGTCTCCCTCATGGCACACCGCCTTTTGGTGTGAACTAAAGTTTCAGCAGTTGTTCAAGTCTTGGACTGCGTGTCTAGGGTTTTCCCCCTTTATGAAATACCTGGTGACAAATATGTGACTATTGAGGCTTTGCCAAACTCTACACACTGCTGGGTTTCACCAGCGTATGGGTTTCCTGGTGCCGCTTCAGGCTGGAAGAAGAAATGAAGGCTTTGCCGCACTCTTTACACCGATAGGGTTTCTCTCTGGCATGAATTCTCTGGTGCTGGTTAAGCTGTGAGGAGAAGTAATAAGCCTTGTCACACTCTTTGCACTTGTAAAACTTCTCTCCAGAGTGAATTCTCTGGTGTTTTTTAAGGTATGAAGGACAGCTAAAAGCTTTGTCACACTCTTTGCATACGTAGGGTTTTTCTACAATATGGATTCTCAGATGCTTGTTAAGATAGGAAGAACAGTTGAAGGCCTTGCCGCACTCTTTACATATGTAGGGTTTCTCTCCGGTATGGATTCTCTGATGCCGGTTAAGCTGTGAAGAAAAGTAATAAGCTTTGCCGCATTCTTTACATTTATAGAGTCTTTCTCCAATATGAATTCTCTGATGTTTCGAAAGATAGGAAGAGCAATTAAAGGCTTTGCCACACTCTTTACAGACGTAGGGTTTCTCTCCGGAATGGGTTCTCTGATGCTTAGTAAGGTATGAGGTACAGTTGAAGGCTTTGCCACATTCCTTACATACGAAGGGTTTCTCTCCGCTATGGATTCTCTGGTGTCGAATCAGCTGTGAAGAACACTTGAAGGGTTTACCACACTCTTTGCATCTATAGGGCATCTCTTCAAAATGGACTTTCATATGCTGGATCAAATACGAGGAACAGTAAAAGGCCCTGCCGCACTCATGACATGTGTAGGGCCTCTCTCCCGTGTGGATGATGAGGTGTCGAGCAAGGGTCGAGCTATTGTTGAAGGCTTTGCCACACTCTTCACACTGGTAAGGCTTTGCTCCCGTGTGAAGTATTTGGTGTCGAGTCAGGTTCGAGTGGTATTTGAAGGTTCTGCCACAGTCCTTACATAGGTAGGGCTCCTCCCCAGTGTGGATTCTCTGGTGCCGAATCAGCTGTGAGGAGAGTCTGAAGGGTTTGCCACACTCTTTGCATCTATAGGGCAGCTCTTCAAAATGGACCTTCATATGCTGGATCAGGAAGGAGGAACAGTAAAAGGCTCTGCCGCACTCCTGACACTTGTAGGCCTTCTCTCCCGTGTGGATGATCTGGTGCCGGCTAAGCGTGGAGCTGTTGTTGAAGGCTTTGCCACACTCTTCACACTTGTAGGGCTTTGCCCCAGTGTGGACGACTTGGTGGCGCGTCAGGGTTGACTGGTATCTGAAGGCTCTCCCACACTCTTTACATTTATAGGGTTTCTCTCCGGTGTGAATGACTTGGTGTTGAGTGAGAGATGACTGTTTACTGAAGGCCTTGCCACACTCTTGACACTTGTGTGGTTTCTCTCCTTTATGAATGAGCTGATGCTGATTCAGGGAGTGACTTCTCTTGAAGGCTTTGCCACATTCCTGACACGTGTAGGGTTTTGCTTCGGTATGAATGACCTCATGCTGAGTCAGGGATGAATTATATTTAAAGGCTTTCCCACAGTCTTTACATTTGTAGGGCTTCTCTCCGGTGTGAACTATTTGGTGTTGAGTAAGTACAGCATGTGTAGGAAAGGCTTTGCCACATTCTTGACATTTGTAGGGTTTCTCTCTCTTATGAGTCATCTGGTGTTGCGTGAGGTTTCTACCTCTCTTGAAGGTTTTCCCACACTCTTGGCATTTATAGGGTCTTGCAGCAGTATGGATTATGCGGTGTTGGTGGAGGATTGAACGGTATTTAAAGGCTTTCCCGCAGTCTTTACATTTGTAGGGCAAATCTCCTTTATGCACCCTGTGACGCCCATCAGAAGCCGAATCATCAATCAACGCTTCGTCACATTCTTCCTGTTTGTATGGCTTCTCTTCACTATGCACACATTGATGGATGGTAAGTTTTGTGTGTTGATCCAAGGCTTTTGCAGAGTCATTACAGTCACAGAGATTTTCTGGGGGAGAAAAGAAGACATACAATTTTAACCATGGCTAAAACTATGAATTTCATTACACTAACAACATTTTCTCTCCAATATGTTATTTCCCAGCCTCATTAATGATCTTCCTATTTTCAATACACATATACTGGAGTCTCTAAGTATCTGTATCTGGATTTGGACATAGAAAAGAATTGACGGGTGGTTAACTCACACCTGTAAGCTCAGCATGCAGGAGGGTGAAACAGAAAGATCATGGTAAGTTCAAAGTGAGCATGGGCTCCATACCAAGTGCCAGGATAGCCTGGGCTACACAGTGAAGCCTTGTCTCAAAATAAACAAACAACAACAAACCACCACCACCAACAAATTACTACATTCATTAAAGCTGTGTATTTTGGTGCAGAGAAAACAAATTTGCCGGGGACAAAATAATGAGTCCTTCTAAAAGACAATCACACTTTAAAATGTGTTCTACATTCTTAAGTCTCTTTTCTAAGGGAATATTTGGTTCAAAGTTCAGTCCAGCTACATTTCAATTGTTCAGGTTCTTTTTTTTTTTTAAGATTTATTTATTTATTATGTATACAACATAGATGACTGCAGGCCAGAAGAGGGTACCAGATCTAATTACAGATGGTTGTGAGCCACCATGTGGTTGCTGGGAATTGAACTCAGGACCTCTGGAAGAGTGGTCAGTGCTCTTAACCTCTGAGCCATCTCTCCAGCCCCTCAGGTTCTTAATTAAAGCATGGAACAGGTAGGTGCATTTTAAGAATTCCCCAAATTTCATTTAAGAGGAACGCTGTTTCCAACCATGATGTGGATGTTTAATCAATCATACAGTTTCTTAACAGTGATTTTTTCTAAGATGCTGTAGGTCATTGATCTCAGTTGGCAATGGGTTTTCTGTTGTGCACAGTTGCCACAGACTGACTGTAAAATGCTTTCCAGCCTTCACATTCACTGATATTTGTAGAGCTTCTCTCCTATATGAACTCTCTGGTGTCAATTAAGAGTTGAACTATTATCGAAGCCTTTGCCGCATTTTTGGCATTTGGAGGGTTTGGCTCTAGTGTGAAAATTATGGTGTCAAGTAGGGTTGGTTGATATTTGAAGGCTTGCTACATTCCTATTTTACTTTAATGCAAATTGTCAAGGTCATAATTTCTGCATCTTCTCCCTATCATATTTTGTAATAACTGGGTTTTTTCCCTGCTCTTGTGAAGAGTCTAGGGTATAATGAGAAGAAACACCTGCAAGAAATCAAAATAACAGATCACCTCAGGAACTGCACTAAGGTGAATTACTTCTGAATCTAACCTCAATACCAAGCCAAACAGACATGTCCTCCAGACAGCCAAACAGACATGTCCTCCAGACAGCAGAACAGCAAACAGAAAAAACTCTCCCTTTCCCCACAGGTATACACTGAAAAGCCTGTTACTTTCCTCGTTAATCACAGCTCTTCTTTTCTGAAAACAGCACTCTCCCGACACCCCAAGACAAAAACAACTTCCCACATCATTCTGCTCTCTTAGAGAGGAAAAGAAAAGAACAAATGAATACATTTTTCAAGTGTCTGAAGGTCCCTCCCTGTTTCACAGTGCGGGAGATAACAGGTATTCTTTGGACAGTATGTCAGGATAGGCAGACTTCACCTAACCCTGAATAATCATTACATCATCCACAAGATGTTATTACTTCAGACAGTCAACCAGAGAAGAGGAGACCACAGAATCTCTTTTTAAAGATTTTTTTTTTTAATGAATGCATTTGCTTGTGTACAGGTATGTGCAAATTGAGGGTGGTGCCTGCAAAGGCCAGAAGGGGGCAATGGAGCCCTGGATTATGGGAAGATGGGAGCCACCCAACCTGAGAATCGGAAACCAAATTTGGGTCCTCTGCGAAAGTAGGACTCCCTCTCAACCAGACTTCCCTCCAGCCCAAGCCCAAGGAGTCCTAAGCAGAAATAAGAGCAAGTGTTTCTGACAGAAAAGATAAAAATAAAACCCTACAGAGAACATAAAACAAAAATCTATTTCAATGACTCTGATGGACTCTACATAGTTCAATGGTGTATTAGCTGATGGTCCCAGTCCACAGAAATAGGAACAGTTGATAGGTTTCAAGTTACCATTGTTTTGATTTGTTATTTATATACTTAAAGGTTATGCATCTGGGGCTGGAGAGATGGTTCAACAGTTTCAAGCATGCATAGCTCTCCCAGAGGACCCGGGTTCAGTTCCCAGCACCCACATGGCAGGTAGCTCACAACAATCTGTAAGTCCAGCTCCAGAGGCTCCTGAAAAATCATCTCCATTGAAACAGGGCTTCCCAATCCACATCTGAAAGCATGGCTCTTCCTGTGGCATTCCCGCCTACCTGGGTACATGGTTCCTGACTCTTGTCTCTTCACATTCCAAGGCGCCTTTCTCTGCTCCAGCAATGAGATCAGGTAAGGTTTACACACAGCAAGACCTGCTTAATTACAAAATAGAGAACCATGTTCAGTTAAGAGTCTCATAATAACATCTCCTGCTGGGAGAAAAGAAGAGATATAAAAGAAGTTTTGAGGAAATTATTTCTCTGGTTATTCCCTGTCGTATACATTAGAATATGTCTGCCAGGTGGTGGAGGTGTACACCTTTGATCCCAGCACTTGGGAGGCAGAGGCAGGCAAATCTCCGAGTTCAAGGCCAGCCTGGTCTACAGAGTGAGTTCCAGGACAGCCAGGGCTACACAGAGAAGAAAAAAAAAAAAAAAAGATTATGTGTGAGGGATTTTCAACTTGGAGATGCAAAACTTCACTTGTACACGTGACCAACTCAAAGCAAATGGACTCTAAGATACAGCCACCATGCTTCATGCCAGCAAGTTTCTGACGTTACCAGTAAGCTACAGCAGTGGTTCTCAACCTTCCTAATGCTTCAACCCTTTAAATACAGTTCCTCATGCTGTGGTGAGCCCCCCCCAATGATAAAACTATTTTTGTTGCTACTTCATAACTGTAATTTTATTAATTGGAATGCAAATGTCTGCTATGCAGGGTATCTGATCTGCAACCCCTGTTGGGGGTCAAGACCCACAGGTTGAGAACCATTGATCTAGAGTGAAGCCAAAACACTCCCTCAAGAAAGGTGATTTCAACATAAATACAATTAAAATGATTTTCTCTAGACCATCAAGCCCCTAAGTATTTCTCTTATGCGTAGGAATGTCAACTGCCTTCATACAAACCAGAAGCCCCCGAGACAAGCCTACAAGAGAAGGGAAATCAGATGTCGAGAAGGAGTTAAGAATTCTGTAGGGGAGAGATCCTCACCCAGGGAGACAAGGTTCCTGTAATTCTCCAACATCACATCCCTATACAAATTCCAGCGAGCGGGCGGGGTCTAGGCATTCCCGCTCCTCTGGGGAGAAATCAATGGACACATCCTCGAATGTCAACCGCTCCTGAAACACAAGTTGATAGCACAAAGGACTGAACTGAACGAAGACAACCCCATCGCAAGGTGGGCTAAGGAACTGAACCGAGTTCTCCAAAGAACTCCAAATGGCCAATAAATACTTTTAAAATGGTTCAATGTTCCTTAGCCATGAAGGAGATGCAAATTTAATACTTCGAGACTCCATCTCACCACAGAATGGGTATCATCAAGAAAACAAATGATAATGAGCACGTGGAGAAAGGACCTAGTCACTGTCGGTGGGAGTGTCAACCGGTACAGCCACTACGGAAGTCAGTGTGGAGGTTTCTCAAACAGCCACAAATAGACCACCACATGTCCCAGCATAAACCCAGAGGGCGCCATATTCTACTACGGAGATGCTTGCTCATCTATGGCCATGGCTCTCTAGCCTAATGGCTAGAAAATGCAATCAGCCTAGATGTCCATCAACTCAAGAGTGGAGAGTGAAAATGGGATGCATATACACAGTGGTATTTATTCAGCTGTAAAGAAAAATGAAATGTGCATGGAGATAGATGAAATGGAGACAAATTATACTGAGGTCCAGAAAGATAAATGCCACACGTTCTCTCTAGTTTACTATCCTAGCTTTGAATTTTCACGTCTGTACGCTTCGCCTGGTGTGTTTGTGGAGGTCAGGAAGCTAGACAGGGGCCACTGAAAGGGGTGGGGCCTTAAGAGAGAAGGGACAGTACAACACACGTGACATGAAAGTATACAGGGACAGCACCTACCCCAGGGGACTGGGCCCTTCCACATCAATCATCAATCAAGAAAATGGTCCACATGCTTGCCTACGGGCCAATCTGACGGTGGCATTTTCTTAACTGAGGTTCCTTCTTCTCTGACGACCCTAGTTTGTGCCACATTGACAAAACCAAAACCACAACCACCTAACCAGAGCACTGTGTTCTGATTAGCAAGCGATACTGTTAGAGCCGGAGAAAAAGCTCAGTAGTTAGTGCTCCCTACAGAGGGTAAAGGCACTTTTGGCCATGCTTAACAATTTGAGTTCCGCCGGGCGGTGGTGGCGCACGCCTTTAATCCCAGCACTCGGGAGGCAGAGCCAGGAGGATCTCTGTGAGTTCGAGGCCAGCCTGGTCTACTGAGCGAGATCCAGGAAAGGCACAAAGCTACACAGAGAAACCCTGTCTCGGAAAAACAAAACAAAACAACAACAACAACAAAAAAAAAACTATTTGAGTTCCATCCTCTGGACCCACAAGGAAGAAAGAGAGAACTAACTCCCACAAGTGGACGCTGGCTAACTTTGGTGGATTTGGCAGAGAAGTGACGGAAGTTCCAGACTGTAGTAAAAAGGGATGAATACACACACCCCGGGACTGTCTCCGTCAAGAGCCGTGGATCGAGACGGCAGTGAACAAATCTTGAGTATCCGGCAAATGCTGCTCACTCCTTTTCAGTATTCTTTCTTGAGAGAAGTTCCCATACCCCACAACCACCCCAGAGAAACTTGGAGAAGGCCCAAGAGATGCCAGAAGAAATCATTTGGATCGTGTCTTAATAGCTTTAAAAGCCATCTCTTCTTCCTGCCACCCACAGTGACCAGTGGCAGCCGCACAGCTGTTGGGGGCACACCTTCAGTGTTTACGCTCACCTGAAGTTGAGGCTACTGGTTACCCAAGCATAACATAGCTGACTCGTTATACCTAGTGAGAAAACCTTTACCCTGGGAAAGCGCAAAAAGCGGAGCAATGAAAGCCCATTTTTAGTACACAGATGTCACCGTAATTCCTTGTTATAGAGCAATTTTCTTTTCTACCATACTGTTGAGAGGCCGCATAAACAGAATGCACTTACATGCAAATCCCTAGGTCACATCAAGGGCACGGAAACTACAGAACTCCATGATGACGCGCCGTATTTACAGTTCAGAGCTGGCAATGGCCTTAAGAGCAGAAACTACGTGCCAAGAATTCATACAAGTTAAAGTGGGGAAGTTAAGGAAAGGACACGGCTCAGTGGGTAAACACTTGCTACGGGGCACGCGTGGAAACTCTAGGTGGACCTAAGGCCTGTGATGGTTTGAAAGAAAATGGCCTCCAAAGGACACGAATAGGAGGTTTGGCCTTGTGGGAGTAGGTGTGGCCTTGTTGGAGGAGGTGTGGCCTTGTTAGAGAAAGTGGGTCGCTGTCGCAAGATGCAGGACTCTCAGCTCCATCTCCAGCACCATGTCTGCCCGCAGGCCGCTATATCATACCATGATGATGGACTAAACCTCTGAAAATGTAAGCCACCCCAATGAAATGTTTTTCTTTTATAAGAGTTG